GTTAATGTAATGCAGCTCCTTATCGCAAAAAATGGCCTGGTCAGGAAGGGGTGTAAATCCTCTGGAGGGCAAGTGGTTAACAAAAAAAAAAAATGAAAAAACTCAAAACATAGCAAAAACGCAAAACACACTGCAAAATGGCCAAAAAGCACAATGCATTGGTGTGAACCGGGCCTTAACAAAACAGTTTTGCTGACTGTCACTGACCATTGCTAAATACATGTTCAGCTAAACATCTACTCTGCAAATTTGTTCTGTCGTGCTGCTTTTAATTTATTATGAAAATTAGAAATGATCATATAGCATTGCAATTGGTGACTATGTGCAACAACCCTTTGTTACTATTTTTATTAATAGCTATTATTTCATGTAGTTCTATTATCTTTCCAGAACATTGCCTACAATCAGGCATTCAAATTTGCAGATACAGCCTTGCTGCTGAGTGGCTTTTATTTTCACCCCGACTTCCATGCTAGTTAAATCCTTATAGTTATTATATTCATTTTTAGTGCAACCTCACAAAACTCAACGCAGCCTTGCACAAATTCCGTGGAACAAAAGAGAGGATGCCAAGCCAAGGATCATATAACAACATGTTGTGGTCCTTTTCAGAAAGACAGGAGTCTGCTGAATCTATGTGCAATGGAGTTGATTTACTAAAGACAAGAGCTTAGTAAATGAGGTAAAGCTTCACTTTGCAAAGAATACGCAATCACGTAAAAGGAAAAGAAAAAAAGCAGCATTTTTGCTTGCACATGACTGGATGATAGAAATCAGCAGAGCTTCCCTTCATTTCAGACCTTCCCTCCAGATCTAGAGCAACATGTGAAATAAACCTTGTTTTTTGGGGGATTTTAAAGGCACATAAAGACAAAAACAAAATGTCTAAAATGCATCCAGAAAGAAATGCCCGTAGCGGAAAGGAAAAAAGAAAATTAGCGCAGGGCAGGCATGACTAGGCCTAGAGTGGGAAGGAGAATAGAAAGGCTTAATTATGTGCCAGGGGGTGCTGGTTGGTAGAGGGAGAGCGTGGGTGGGCTCTGCCGCACCTTAGGGTGGGGTGTCCCGGTGGGGGGGCGTCAGTCGGAGCTGGACGTTGGTGAGTGAGCTTCCCTCCCGCCCTCCCTATTTTAGGGAGTATTGTGTTCCTCTCGGGGGGCAGGGGGGTTATTTCGGTCTTGGGCGGTTATTGGTCTTTGGAGGCGGTTCTTATCTTGGAGGTACAGATAATGGTGTGGGAACCATCGTTGGTATGGTGTGCCCGGGGACATTCCAGTTAACCAAGGTTTAACTGGAAGGTGGTGGTGCTGCACTGCGGACGGTATGGTTGTCTCCAAGCTGGTTGGTTGCGGCTGGAGGCCTAGTGGAATATGGTTGTCCGCAGGTGCATTTCAGATCATTTTTGGGGGGTGCCTTCGAAGACCAACAACAACAACTCTGTATGTTTCTGTTATGCTATTAAAAAATGGGGGAAGCTTCTAAAAAATGGGGAGTTTTAAGACCTCCGCTGCACCTGGGGTGCATGGGGTAATACCTGGATGACAAACTATCCAATCAGAGAAGGACCATGAGAGATGAGGGGGCTATAAAAGGGAGGTTCCGATCCTCTGGGATCAGCCACCTGGGAGGCATCTCTGTGGTGCTCCCCTCCCATTTGCCCCCTTTTGTCGCGGTAACTCATTATTGGTGAGCTTTACTTCTAGGAGGACAAGTCAGTGCAATTATTCAGTGGGAGTGAGACTGTATCAGTATGTAAGTATGGTTGATAAGTTGTTGTTTTAATGTAAAGCTGGAGTCGTAGTGACTAAGCTGTGGTTGTGCAGTGATAATTTCAGTAAAAATGTTTAATATATTCATATTGCTTTACTATGTACAAATAAAGAGTTATTAAAACATATATATACCAATAATAAAATGGCAACGGCCAAATTATTTATCCAAAATAAGTTGTTATATCTTTTATTGGTTAAAAAAGCATACTGCCTACAGTGCCATAAATTTTATGAATATGTCCGCATATCAGTTCAAAGGTAAGATGATGTTTGCAATATACAGTATTTGTATAGTGAGCAATATGAGAAGCTTTTCATGGAATGTGTTGTGTGTGCATATCACAATCTACACAAATTCACAGAATTTCTCTTCCATAATAGCTTTGATCATCTTCTGGAGATTGTGTCCCCTGATCTGCAACAGCAAGACACCAATTAAAGGGACTCTGTGTCACCGAGAGAACGTCTACTGGTTACTCTGTGTAAAAGTTTCTCAATCTGTACATCAATGGGGGTATTTAAAACTGGTTTAGCTGTGCATAGTACCCAGTCAGCTTCTAAAGTCTGAAGACTCCATGTGCATCAGTTTTTAAATCTCCCCCAATGTGTAGATGCAATATTGTATCAATGTGTCAGGATGGAGACAACACAAAAGAATCCTAAAAAACATAAAATAAAACAACTTCAGCAAGGTCAACAACTTTTTAATTAAAAAAAAAAATAACCCATAATGTCACAGGATACATTTTTTAGAAATTCTTTTGGAAGAACATTTGCAAAATAGTTACATAGTTAGTCTGGCTGAAAATAGACAAAAGTCCATCCAGTTCAACCACAAAAAAAAAAAAGTTACAATCCTACACCAACAGTTGATCCAGAGGAAGGCAAAAAAACCCAGCAAAAGCATGATCCAATTTGCTCCTGCAGGGGAAAAAATTCCTTCCTGATCCCCCGAGAGGCAATCAGATATTCCCTGGATCAACTTTACCTATAAATGTTAGTATCCAGTTATATTTTGTGTATTCAAGAAAGAATCCAGGACTTTTTTGAAGCAATCCACTGAGCCAGCCAGAACCAACTCTTGAGGAAGTCTATTCCACATTTTCACAGCTCTCACTGTGAAGAAACCTTTCTTTTATTTGGTGAATCCCTTAATGTCAAATCTTGTAAAACTTGATATTTTGGCCTATATGGGCTCTCTTCTATTATTTATTCTATGTATTTGGAGATTACATTTCTTTTCCTCCAGATGTAAAGAGTGCCCCCTTGTCCTCTGTGATGACCTCAGGGTGAATAACTACACCCGAGTTCACTATATGAACTACTGATGTATTTATACATGGAGATCATATCCCCCCTTATGTATTATACATGGAGATCATATCCCCCCTTATGTATTATACATGGAGATCATATCCCCCTTATGTATTATACATGGAGATCATATCCCCCCTTATGTATTATACATGGTGATCATATCCCCCCTTATGTATTATACACGGAGATCATATCCCCCTTATGTATTATACATGGAGATCATATCCCCCCCTTATGTATTATACATGGAGATCATATCCCCCCTTATGTATCATACATGGAGATCATATCCCCCTTATGTATTATACATGGAGATCATGTCCCCCTTATGTATTATACATGGTGATCATATCCCCCCTTATGTATTATACATGGAGATCATATCCCCCCTTATGTATTATACATGGTGATTATACCCCCCTTATGTATTATACATGGAGATCATATCCCCCCTTATGTATTATACATGGAGATCATACCCCCTCTTATGTATTATACATGGAGATCATGTCCCCCTTATGTATTATACATGGTGATCATATCCCCCTTATGTATTATACACGGAGATCATATCCCCCTTATGTATTATACACGGAGATCATATCCCCCTTATGTATTATACATGGTGATCATATCCCCCCTTATGTATTATACACGGAGATCATATCCCCCTTATGTATTATACATGGAGATCATATAACCCCTTATGTATTATACATGGAGATCATATCCCCCCTTATGTATTATACATGGAGATCATATCCCCCTTATGTATTATACATGGAGATCATATCCCCCCTTATGTATTATACATGGTGATTATACCCCCCTTATGTATTATACGTGGAGATCATATCCCCCTTATGTATTATACATGGAGATCATATCCCCCCTTATGTATTATACATGGTGATCATATCCCCCCTTATGTATTATACATGGTGATCATATCCCCCCTTATGTATTATACATGGAGATCATATCCCCCCTTATGTATTATACATGGAGATCATATCCCCCCTTATGTATTATACATGGAGATCATATCCCCCCTTATGTATTATACATGGAGATCATATCCCCCCTTAATCTCCTCTTCTCAAGAGAGAAGAAATTAATTTCCTCTAATCTTTCCACATAGCTGAGCTCCTCCATGCCTCTTATCAGTTTGGTTGCCCTTCTCTGTACTTTCTCCAGTTCCCCAATGTTCTTTTTGTGAATTGGTGCCCAAAACTGAACTGCATATTCCAGATGAGGTCTTACTAATGATTTGTACCGGGGTAATATGATATCTCTCTCTCTCTGGAGTCTATACCTCTTTTATCACAAGAGAGGATTTTGCTCGCTTTAGAAACCGCAGCTTGGCATTGCATGCCATTATTAAGCTTGTGATCTACCAGAACTCCCAGATCCTTCTCCACCATTGATCCCCCCAGCTGTACCCCCCCTAGTATGTATGATGCATGCATATTCTTAGCCTCCAAGTGCATAACCTTACATTTATCAACATTAAACCTCATTTGCCACATAGTTGCTCAATTAAACAGAGCATTGAGGTCGGCTTATAAATTGGAGACATCCTGTAAGGACGTTATTCCCCGGCACAGCTTGGTGTCATCTGCAAAGACTGAAATGGGATTTTTAATCCCAGAACCTTTACTGTTTATAAAATATATTAAAAAGGGTCCCAACACTGAACCTTGGGGTACACCACTGATAATCCTAGACCATTCAGAGTATGAATCATTAACCACTACTCCCCTGAATACGATCTTTTAGACAGTTTTCTATCCATTTACATACGGATTGTTCCAAGCCTGTAGACTTTACCTTACACATTAGCAAGGTGTGGGGAACTGTGTCAAACGATTTTGCAAAATCCAAGTATACCACATTCACCACCACCCCTCTGTACAAGTATACCACATCCACCGTCACCCCTCTGTCCAAGTATACCACATCCACCGTCACCCCTCTGTCCAAGTATACCACATCCACCGTCACCCCTCTGTCCAAGTATACCACGTCCACCGTCACCCCTCTGTCCAAGTATACCATGTCCACCGTCACCCCTCTGTACAAGTATACCACATCCACCGTCACCCCTCTGTCCAAGTATACCATGTCCACCGTCACCCCTCTGTCCAAGTATACCACATCCACCGCCACCCCTCTGTACAAGTATACCACATCCACCGCCACCCCTCTGTACAAGTATACCACATCCACCGTCACCCCTCTGTACAAGTATACCACATCCCCCGTCACCCCTCTGTCCAAGTATACCATGTCCACCGTCACCCCCCCTCTGTCCAAGTATACCACATCCACCGCCACCCCCGTCACCCCTCTGTACAAGTATACCACATCCACCGCCACCCCTCTGTACAAGTATACCACCTCCACCGCCACCCCCTCTGTACAAGTATACCACGTCCACCGCCACCCCTCTGTACAAGTATACCACATCCACTGCCACCCCTCTGTACAAGTATACCACATCCACCGTCACCCCTCTGTACAAGTATACCATGTCCACCGTCACCCCTCTGTCCAAGTATACCACATCCACCGCCACCCCTCTGTACAAGTATACCACATCCACTGCCACCCCTCTGTACAAGTATACCACATCCACCGTCACCCCTCTGTACAAGCATACCACATCCACCACCACCCCTCTGTCCAAGGTTTTGCTCACCTCCTCATAAAAAGAAATCAGATTTGTTTGACAACTTCTGTCTTTCATGAATCAATGCTGTCTGTTGCTTAAAGTATTTTTTTCCAGCAAGAACTCATCTATGTGGTGCAGGGGCAGACTGACAACTCATGGGGCCCCTGGGCAATAGGGGATCATGGGGCCCCTGTGTCCTTGCCCAAACTCAAAAAGGCCTATGAAAAAGGTACCAGGGGCATCTCATGGGGCCTTTTTGCACCATAAGACGCACTTTTTTCCCCCAAATAAAGGGGGGGAAATGTCAGTGCTCAGCTCAGTCTCTGGTCATCTCCTGTACTGTGTCCGCAGTCTCTGGTCATCTCCTGTACTGTGTCCGCAGTCTCCGGTCATCTCCTGTACTGTGTCCGCAGTCTCTGATCCATCTCCTGTACTGTGTCCACAGTCTCTGGTCATCTCCTGTACTATGTCCGCAGTCTCTGGTCATCTCCTGTACTGTGTCCGCAGTCTCCGGTCATCTCCTGTACTGTGTCCGCAGTCTCTGGTCATCCCCTGTACTGTGTCCGCAGTCTCTGGTCATCTCCTGTACTGTGTCCGCAGTCTCTGGTCCATCTCTTGTACTGTGTCCGCAGTCTCTGGTCATCTCCTGTACTGTGCCCACAGTCTCTGGTCATCTCCTGTACTGTGTCCGCAGTCTCTGGTCATCTCCTGTACTGTGTACGCAGTCTCTGGTCATGTCCTGTACTGTGTCCGCAGTCTCTGGTCCATCTCTTGTACTGTGTCCGCAGTCTCTGGTCATCTCCTGTACTGTGTTCGCAGTCTCTGGTCCATCTCTTGTACTGTGTCCGCAGTCTCTGGTCATCTCCTGTACTGTGTTCGCAGTCTCTGGTCATCTCCTGTACTGTGTCCGCAGTCTCTGGTCATCTCCTGTACTGTGTCCGCAGTCTCTGGTCCATCTCCTGTACTGTGTCCGCAGTCTCTGGTCATTTCCTGTACTATGTCTGCAGTTCATTGGTTTATTTTTTTTTCTTGTTTTCCGCCTCTAAAATATAGGTGCATCTTATGGAGCGCGAAATACGGTAGGTACCACACTGTCCTTACGCCAATCCAGTGGTACTATGCCAGTCATTAAAGAGTTCCTAAAAATTATAAACAATGGCTTTGAAATGACAGAGCTCAATTCTTTAAGGACCCGTGAGTGTACTACTCTGGGGAAGTGATCAAAAACATTATTTTTACACTATGATTGCTTATAAAGTGATGATTACTGTTATAGTTGTAAGCAATCATTTTATGATTGCCATCCATTAATTCATAGTTATTCATTGAGTACTATTGTGAGTGCTATTGGCCACAGCCATCTCATGGTACAGATGCACTGCGACTGGCCCTGTCTGTGCCATGTGATCACTGTGACCAATCACAGAGATCATCACAATAGTATACAATGAATGGCTATGAATGGAAGCCATTTATTGTGTACAACTCCCATATGATTGCTGTGATTGGTCACAGCAATCACATGGTACTGGGCCCAGCCTGGTGCAACGATCTGTGAACACAGCAGGTGACAGATCATGCTACAGTGTGGCCCTTAGGGTGCACACAAGGTGCCTGATTGGGAGAAAGTCATATGACATCCACCCGGAAAAGCAGTGCTCCCACTTGGCCATCATTTGTCTATAGACTGGGCAAGAAGCAATTAAACATGCATCAAAAATGCAGGACTTTTAAAGCGCACTTGTGTGAAGAGTGCCATAGGATTTAAAGGGATACATTTTTCATGCTTTTATGTTCCACTTTTTTTTAACCCTAAAAATGCATCAAAAACCAATCACTTTGAAAGGGCCCTAAAATCACCCATGCAGCTAAAGCTAGTCAGGGACTGGCTGAATTTTCAATAAGTGTGTGGCCGTCCCTGCTCAACAAAAGTCGATCGCTTGAATTTACTTGTTTAAGCTGCATATGAATGGAAAAAAGTAACAATTTCTGCTTTGGTAAACCATATAGTATCAACGTACACATTTCATTTTCTTTGTATAAAGCAAAATTTTGCTGTGAAAAAAATCAACCCATCACGTAGGGGACCTCCAGACATTGCACGGGTTTTATCAAACTTCATTGTGGAGTCTTACCAAGGATTGCCACTTCATCCATTTCAAACTTGACAAATATTAATTATACAAGTTCTGTGATTAATTAGAAAATGTTTTAGCTGTGTTTAATCAGCCAGAGAACTCGTTTCCTCCTCATGTCTGGCAGTAACCTTAGTCTTAACTTTTTCTTTTCTGAAGTGCTGCCTATCGATATATGAATTTATTAAGATTGCAGATAGATGTACTCACATGATTAAAATGGCAAGAAAGCCATCTGAGGACATAAATAATACCATCCAATCAGCCGCTGTGAAGCAGTACCACTTCCTGTCCCGGCCATTCCCCCTGAGGATGTCTTCTGTGATGAAATGCGTCGGATCAGCGGATGTGATGTCACCACGCACACCGACACAAGAAGTGACAGGAGCAATTTCCAACATGGTATTATTAATGGCATTATGCTGATATTAATAATACAGCACTGGAAATTCTTCCTGTTACAAGTCCAGAGTGCATCTGCTGGTTTCTTCATATTTTACATACCTATAGCCAGAGCCACGGATAATGGGGTAGCACTTGTCCTCCTGTACGGGTCCCAGGCCAACAGGGGGGCCCAGGCAGCAGGGGGGCCCAGGCAGCTGGGTGAATCAGATGTGGGCAGGGAGGGTGATCGGCACAGTGGGGGGTGCAATTACTGGAACCGATCCCCTGTATAGCTCTCTCTGCAGCAGCTGAAAGCTGGCTTCTTCTCCCCCCTCCCTCCCACTGGCTTTCAGCTGCTGCAGAGAGAGCCATACAGGGGATTGGTTCCAGTAATTGCCACCCTGTCGCACCTTATCACCCTCCATGTGCACCATACATTTCCCCCTGCTGCTCAGGCCCCCTGTGTGCCCCCACCCCCGCAATGCTGCCAGCTATCCTTCCCTCCTTCCTACCAGCAGCTGCAAGCACACAATAGGATCCTTCATGATGGAGAGTGGGAAAAGGGGTCCAGTAAATATGGCACATTTTACCAGCCCCTTTCTTTCCTGGATGAACACAATGAGTGCTCAGTACCGATCACTCACTGTGTTCATTCATAAACAAAGGATAGTAAACTTTGGGGGGGGGGGCTGTCAAGTTGGCTGTATGGGGTCCCATGGTTTCTAACTGCAGCCTTGCCTATAGTGCTACCCTCCGTAGGAGGTGCTGATTTTAGCTGGTTCTTCCCCAAACAGTGCAGAGGCTACCAATCACACAAGCAACAGTCCATTCAGTCTGTCTCCATTAAACAGCCTTAGGAATGTGTTTTCAACATTTATTGCTTGTCGAAACTGATAACAGGAGAGAGCTTGGGGTGGTTTGGGGTACTTCAAAATGGCTAGCAACATCAAAGGGAGGACAGTCTAAAACCTCCAAGCTGGGGACCTTGATTTATCTTTCTGAACAGTCTTCTGAACAGTCTTAAAGCCTCACAGCTGGGGACCATGAAGCAAGTCTCTTTTTCACCTTCTTACCCAGCACAATTGCACAGCTTTAGGTAACCACTGCAACTTCAGGATCACTGTACACTACAGGAGGGCACTCTTCACAAAGCTTACAGCCCAAAATCTTGCTGAGGATGGGGTAATGGCAAGCATCTGAAACCCTGTGAGAGCTGTCTAAGATAAAGAGCTACTGCTGGCACCCCAAAAGTAGAACACCACTAGTTACTAGGATCCTGACAAAGTCAGTTATCATATTGCCCCAGAGCAACTACACACCTTTCAGCTTTCACCAGACACTCTTCAGTGAGTTCTCCATATCAGATCCTTAGGTGAAACTGCTTGGTTAGCTCCTTCAGCAGATCTGCCTCAAAAAGGCAGCAGCCCATGAGGCTGGGAACTTCTCCAGCAGGACAAGAACCGGGCTGCTCCAGACCCCAGATTACTTATTCTCTTCCACCACCTATTGGGTGGTGTGCCCCCAGGGACTGGCTGCAGCAAAATAAATATTCAAGCTGCCCATTTGATTCTCCCTGCCCTCTATGTTGTGGAAGTCTCCAGAATGTGAGGAGAAGCAATAAAACCTGCAGCCCATGAGATCTAGAACAGCCTGTGGAAATCATTAGCTGTTCCAATTAGGAGCCAAATTTACCTATCATCCTAGCAACTTACACCATTCCAGTTAGCTAGACAGCTGTTTGTTTTTTTCTCTTTTTAGAGAGTAGCAGCCTGGGGATGAGTCAGCCTGTGAGTGAGACAGGAGTTCATCTCAGGGCAGGCTGGGAGGGGCTTCTGAAGCCCTCCCACTTTTCCAGAAACTTAGAGAACTTTTTGGGAGAGGGGTGGAGGAGGCCCAGATCTGCATGTTTGAGGGACCGTGGCTGAACCCTTAGCAGGAGGCTGGGCACGGTGTCCAGGGAAACCCTCAGGAGCTGAAAGGAGGATCTCTCTGCCTCACCATCCCCTGAGAGAGGACAGCCTGTGGAGCAGGGAAGGAGCCAGCTCAGTGTAAGTCCTGAAGGCAGCCACCAAACCACCAAGCTCATAGGAGAGACAGAGTGAGCAATCCTACAGCCCCTGGACTGGATAAGGGGGGTGAAGGAGAGGGCAGGGAATACCCTCAATGCAGCTGGGAGAAGCGGAGTACACCAGAGAGCTGGAAGGCTCATAAAGGAGAGATTATTTTTGTCCACATCTGTACATAGTTGCTAAGGAGTTTGTCCACAAGTTCAGAGTTTCCTTGGGCATCCCATAAACCCCTCAACACCATCCAAGGTATTAACCCCTTTAATAAAATCACAAAAGCTCAAGGACTGTTTACTGACTCTGAGTGCAACATGTGGAAGAAAATGTGTGCTGCCTGGCTGTGAAGAGCTGTAGGGGGACCCAAAACTCAGCGACTCCTGAGGGGGGTAGTGCTACATACTGTACCTTCTTCATGGATTGCACCCAGGCCAATATCCTTATAAGCATGTGTGGTGGCCCACTTCTACTCTACACTGACATAATACATATATACTGTGTGTATACAGTATATATTTGCACAGGTAGCCATGGCACTCTACGTTTGAGATAATGCCTAGGTGCTCACCCACAAAGAAATCCATATAAATTAAAAACTGGTTTAGAAGCACTCTTGGGTCTTGCAGAGGTGGAAGATAAAAAATAGCAGTGTTTTTATTGTCAACTTTTGGATGGAGCTCAATGCATCTTTCTCAAGACAATAAAAACACTGCTGTTTTTGATCCTCCTCCTCTGCAAGACCCGTGAGTGCCTCTAAACCAGTTTTGTATATATATATACATATATATATATACATACACACACACTATATTACCAAAGGTATTTTTGCCTTTACACGCACATGAACTTTAATGGCATCCCAGTCTTAGTCCGTAGGGTTCAATATGAGTTGGCCCCGCCCTTTGCAGCTATAACAGCTTCAACTCTTCTGGGAAGGCCGTCCACAAGGTTTAGGAGGGTGTCTATGGGAAGGTTTGACCATTTTTGCAGAAGCGCATTAGTGAGGTCAGGCACTGATGTCAGATGAGGCCTGGCTCGCAGTCTCTGCTCTAATTCATCACATAGGTGTTCTATTGGGTTGAGGTCAGGACTCTGTGCAGGCCAGTCAACTTCCTCCACCCCAAACTGGCTCATCCATGTCTTTATGGACCTTGCTTTGTGCACTGATGTGCAGTCATGTTGGAACAGGAAGGGGCCATCCCCAAACTGTTCTCACAAATTTGGGAGAAAGGAATTTTCCAAAATGCGTTGGTATGCTGATACCTTAAGAGTTCCCTTCACTGGAACTAAGGGGCCAAGCCCAACTCCTGAAAAACAACCCCACACCATAATCCCCCCCCACCAAACTTTACACTTGGCAAAATGCAGTCAGGCAAGTACCGTTCTCCTGGCAACTGCCAAGCCCACACACGTCCATTGGATTGCCAGACAGAGACACATCATTCGTCACTCCAGAGAACACGTCTCCACTGCTCTAGAGTCCAGTGACGGTGTGCTTTACACCACTGCATCCAACA